CTCAGTTGCAGTGTATTTCTCTTCAGCCTAAGGTTGTCTCCTGGCTGTGTTCACCTGTTACAGAGAACAGTGAGCATCTCTCTGCTGCTGGTGCAGCTTGGCTGTACGCAAACCTCCATCATTTAACAGACTATCCAAGCACAATTTTAATTAGATACTCTTTATTATGATATCCAGGAAAACAATAACAAGGTGATTGCTTATTACAGCTTCCACAGATTGGGGCTCGAGGCCGTATTGTCCTGGGTACACACGCACACACACACAAGACAACTCTTGCCACAAAGAACTTACAATCTAAATAAACAAAACAAAGGTAATGATGAATCTAAGAAACAAAGAGGAGGAATCACCTGCATGAGAACACAAGGTAGTTTTGGTTTGGCTTCCAGCCTGAAGTTCAAGGGTTGAAATTCCTATCCTATTACAATATTCCCATCACCACGGGCTGAATTTTTAATCCATTAATTACAATGCAAGATACATTCTTCAACATTCTTAATCAATACAAGGAGACACAGACAAAGATCAAAGTCCTTGACCATGATTCGCCAATATCTTTGTTGTGTGACAGCAAAACTACTTTCTACAGATACTGAAATCCTTTGTGCCCAGTTTCCTAAATGAGAAAAGCAGTACCAGTGAACAGTAATACAGAAAGATCTGGACTAAGAGAAACATCCAGGAATACCATTTTTTCCTAAAGCAGTCAGGACTTAGCACTTTTTTTTTTTTTTTCTTTTTCTTTTTTCCATTTCAGTGTATTGTATTGCATAATGTTCTTCTGTTTGGAATAAAGAAGTGACAACTGCATTGTGCTGCATGACAGCGCCTGACCTTAAGTGTTAACCACAATAAATAAGAAGAAAAAACGAACACTGAAAAGCTATCAAATTGTAAAGCTACACCTCAGATGCTCTGATTCTGCAAAAAGATCCTAACATAAAAAGAAAAAGGAGTTGTCATTTCTGGCACTCACATCACAGATTTTCCACTCTCGAGCTGGATACAAATAAAAGTCTTTGCAGGTACCCAAAATAAAAGTGACAGGACACACTGCGCGAGATCAAGAGCAATCATCTTAGATCCAAAACTAGGTAGCACTTTTTCTTTTTTTTCTTTCAACCTGAAATAGAAGTTGTTAACTTTTTTCTTGTTGACATCAAAAGAACTTCCCTAAGAGGCAGAAAAAACCCACCTGCAGCTGCAGCCCAGGACTCCTCACCCATCACTCACAGAAGGGGAACCGACAGTTGTAGATGCTAATAGTAGTTCTGTTTTGTGGACAGAAAGGCACTTGCTATCTGAATGTGAGCTAAATTCAAACACCTCACTTGAAATACAAGTTGTATCAAAATGTATTCATGCTATAAAGAGTTTCAGTTCCCATTAAACGGGTTCTGATGACACCCTGTATATTGCTTTAATGTGCTTCTTTCTTCTTACGTGTCTGCTCCAGAAACACTCAGGCACTGCTTCTATTTTAGTTCTGAAAAGTATGCCAAATTCCTTAACGTGCACAGAACCAGGCTTATTAGATCCTAAATTGAGTAGTTCGGGGAGCAGTGAAAAGGGGGATAGCAATGAGAAGAGGGTATACCCACCACAGAGATCCATCACCACCTATAGCAGAACAAGAAAACTAAAAAAGCTACAAAGCCAAGAACCACAACAAAAGCCCAAACAACAATAGGAGAAATTCAAACACAATGGACAGATGATAATGGACATCAGTTCTTTTAAGAGTCCTATTCTTTCCAAAGGATCTTTTCAGAATTTCCCCCCCAGGCTTAGCTCTGTAGGACACTGTCACACCCAGTGCAAGAAATAACTTCAGCACTTGAATAATAGGATAACTGTTACAGAACCTACAGGCATCAAACTACCAGCCACTAGAACGTAGTATGCTCTGCTGACTCGCACCGTGCCTGTACCTCAAACAAGCAGTATGACTGTCTACCTGGTGTTCTAACTCCTTCAATACCAACTTTTTCCACAAAGAACCATTAGGCCAGCAATGACCAACACAAAGAGAGCAGCCATGGAAGCTGCTGCTTTCTACCTTCTGAGCACAGGTCAAGGGCCGAGTCACAAATGGAACAAAACGTAAGAATGAGCTAGAAATGGGCTAGCCAGCATCCTGAAAACAGAATAACAAACTTAAGAGAAACAGAACAACCCTCCCTCCCAGATTGCTCAACAGAAAGACAACGCAGTTCTTGCAAAGCTCTTTGGAAGACCTGCTTTAACATACGAAGGGTTCACAGTGAAAAGAAGCTGTAGTTTCCCAGCTGCTAAAGAAAGTAATCTTGGTCCTTGATCCAGAAGAAATTACATTTTCAGAATTCCCATTTCTACACTTCCAGTTCCACTGCTTGGAAACCCATGAACTGAGACAGAGAAAATGCATTTCACTACAGAATACTGATTATTTCCCCTTCACCAAAATACCTGGCAGAAAGCCATAAATACTTAATCAGTTTGGCATGTCAGAGCTACCAGATAGCAGTTTCCTTCTTGTGTTGAAGACTGGAAGCCCTTCAATAAAGTCTTCCAACTTACACATAGTGTAATCTGTCATTTTCAATCAAAAAAAGTGCAGTTGAAAGGGACAATTGCCTTACACCTTCATGCACGTTTTTCCAGCATCTCCTTGCTTATCTATAAAGACTTGTGTACCTCCAGGATTACTCTCAGGCAACTAATTCAGTCAAGAAATAACTCAGCAAACATGGCAGTTTACAGCTGCGCCAGCTCCTTGATCGAGCTGACCGTGCAACAAAAAAATCTTTGTGCTAGAAAAAGAGAAGGGGCACTTTTTGGCAGCAACTTACAGTATTTTAAGTTTAGCACAGCCATGAAAATGCTCCTTCCCTCCAACACCAAATTTGACTCCCAGCAAAACTGCTTCGGGTGCAGTTACTTTTGCTAAGTTATTTGCTAAAAGGGCTGAAAATGTACGTTAACTCTTTTTAAAGCAGTCTGATAACAGGAGGACAATTACTTTTATCAAAGTGCCAAACTATTTCCTAGAATTCAAGATGATGTAATTTCATTAGCACAACTAATATTTTCAAAGAAAAAAGCACTTTGGAAAGAGTATCAGATGCTTCATAATGACTGATACTCTAAATACATTACCCCAACATACTTCATTTACTTTCAGTGTATTGTAACACCATAACCTACGCATTCTCTCTGCACGACTCCCTTCCCTCGATCACTCCTAACTTTGGGCTCGGGATCACACAGAAAGCAGTTTGTGAAGTGTCACCCTCACAAATAATTTACACATGAGAAATCACTCTTTTTAACTAGTCGTGAGAAATAAGTGTCCTAACAAGAGCAGAAAACTGCAAATGCTGAAAATGAATGTCAGCAGCTCTGCAGTCTCTGTTTACACTTCTAAGTTGCATAATGTTATTTAGTAACAGTAAAGTCCCAGCTTTGGTAACTAATTCTGCACATAAAGCAAACATACATTTAGGGCCAAAAAGAAAAAAACAAAAATAAAAAAGAGGCTCAGGACCATCAGTTAGGAAAGAGTTCTTCCAAGGTTGGGGGAGAGAGGTATGACAATAAAATGAAAACCCTTAACCACAGTCTGTATGGATCATTCTCTTCACATCCATTTATATGGACAAAGCCTTCTCTTTGTGGGATCTAGTAACTGGTCAGGATAAACTGCCACAGCCTAAGCAAAAAGCATTACAATGAGGCATAGGAGAGCAATAACAAACTCTTCAGTCATTTCCATTTCTGATTTTCCTGATACCGTAACTTTGAAAACATTATTAGACAACTAATCTCCTATCCTAATGAATCCCAGATTACAAAGAGAGATGAAATGCGATAAGGTTTGAAAATCAGACTGTAAGCAACTCAAAAGAAGTTATCCAAACAGGAAAGAACAACCTTATGCCAAAGCAAGTAACAAATCGGAAACAGAAATCTCAAAATGTTCTGAATTCACAGAGGTTTTCAGCACAAGGTAGAAATTAAAAAATTATTGCTTCTGCAGGAAGTCAGGAATGCCTCCTCCAAAACTATGAATGGGCATTTTTAACTATGATGTAAGAAGATGAAAGAAACTGGCATTCAATGCTCTGTTCAAACCCAAGAACAAGAGAAATCATTCCATATTACTCATCAGAAAGCAACAAGTCCTATAAGGCAAAGACGAAGATCAAGCCATCGTGGAAGTAAAAACTCTTTTTGTGAAGTCCAAAGGCCGAGAACATCCATAAGGCCAACAGGAGACAAAAGCAATGTCAATATTAACAGGCAAGAACACACTCTTCTGAAGTTTTTAGAAGGGAATCTACAGTTGACATTTCAAGACTCCCGTGACAAACAATGAGCTTTACAAAAACAGTTCCTTTAGGGACACAGCAATCACAATCCTCAGACTCCAATGTATCAAAGAGCTGAAGAAGTACCTTAAAAGCACCCTCTATAATTTCTTTCTCCATCTCTTATGATTCTGACAATACCAAGACAACCAGATATATCACACGCAAACTTGATTTACAAGTCAAAGTACCAGACAAGAAACTTTAAACATTTGCCCCTTTTGGCTTAAGGTACAACTTGAGAGCAAGGCACGCAGAATCTATGCACGTCTGTTAGAAATATCAGATGTGAAATGTGATTTTGTGCAGTATTTCATTTATCAATTCCCTCAGCATTTCTGTATTCCAAATTTCCAGTTTCATGGTCAGATTGGATAGACTCACAGTTCCATCACTTGAGTTTTCTTTTTTTCCCATCAGTACATAAAAATAACTACACCTACTGAAGTAGATTGGGAGCATTAAAGGGCGTGCAGCTCCAGGGTTCTCAAGTTAACTAAGTCCAAGTCTGCCAAGTACACTTCAGGAGCTGTGAAGCAAGTACTCAAAACTGTGACTTGAACTGCCTGGAACACGTAACAAATTAAATGGTAGTAACACTAAATAGCACTGTATGACTGAAGAACAGATAGTTACATGTAGTCAATATTTTGCACTAGAAATTTTATTCTGTATAGTAAGCAACCGAACTGTGTAAGATACAGAATGCAGATTTTTTGTTGTTGTTGGGCATAAACTCAATTAAAGTAACAATTTTTAGTTAATCTGTTTATTTCTCAGTTTGATTGCTTATAATCACTCCTACTCAATCCATAAGCATTCTAACACTGGGGTTAACCTGAAAGCCTGATTTAGTAACTCGTCAAGACTGAATAAAAATCTTTAACTCATTCCCAAGTCAAATGGTTCCCATTACAAAAGGATACACAAGAAAAACATTAACTGCATATTAAATTGAAAAATTAGCTGGACAAGGCTTCACATTTAATACAATTCTGAAAGACAGATAATGGAAAAAATCTTAAATCCAGATTCCTCCAGCTGTAGCGAAGGGCACACACAATATACGAGTTTTAAGAAGTTGTAGCTTTTAAATATTCTCTCATAAAAATATATATATAGGAGAAATCAAACTATTTCCTAACAGAGGCGAAACAAGGCAAAGCATTTAGAATAGAGGAATGTTTGTCAAAACTTGATCCATTTATCTAACAAATTCCCTCTTCATGGAGCATTAGATGCCTCCCCACCTAAAACAAACAACACAGTGTAAGAATCTCCCCCTCTAAAATCAGAAAGACAGGTTTTGGAAGAAGGTCCAACGCACAGTAACTGTCCAAGATATGTACACTTCAAAAGCACAGACAGGAGTTAACAGTGCTACTCAAATCAACTCCATGACATACACTTTTCCCTTCTAATTTTCAAGTGCTAAAGCTTTATCTCAGAAAGGTTTCTCTGTTCCTTGTAAGACATTTCTAACCAACGAGCAATAAGACTCTGCAACATTTCCAATCAGTTCAGTTTTGTTTTAATGATATGGGGCAATTCTTAGAGCAGACATCATGTAGCTAGCAACTACAAAATAAAATAAGTTCACTTTTGTGGTCCTAGAATTCCAATTTGATCTGTGAATTTGAATCAACTAACTTAAAAGTCAGAGTATCTGAAAATGCATACTACATTTTTACTTCAATTTCGTAATATATTTGAAGTTTTGAAGAACTAGGAAAAAGTGAAGTTGGAAAACAGTATATATCACCAAGATTACAAAAACTGGAAAGAAATAATACATTGCATCAGTGATCCTCATTAAGTGAAGTTATTTCATCACAGTAAGTGTTTAAAAAAGTGTCAATGTTATTTAAAAAGTGTTTTGTCCCCCCACCCCCCAAGCGTTTGAAGACAGATAAACCTTTTCTTTTAGTCAAAATGGCTTTTAAAAAAAGTTTCACAAAACAATAGCAATAATCAAAAACCATGATTTGTATTTTCTTTAATCCATTACATCTCTAGTGCTGAAGGGTCATCCATGTAAAAAGCAGATTCTTTGGGGACACTTGTCAATTAACTTAATAAAACCCAGTTTTACGAGGATTTATCCTTCCTGCTACGAGGCGAGTCTGCTCCATTTGAGGTCACTGTCCCATTTATTCCATTTTCTACAAAACAAAACAAAAAATCAAGTAGAATGAGACACTTTATTATTTTACTACATTTTAGTAGGTCCTAAACAGTCATTAACTTCTTCTCTGATGCATCTATTTTGTTAAATCTCATCGTTACCATTTATAACTGGAACCATACCATTTGTTACCATTTATTCACTGGAGCAGGTTGCCCAAGGAGGTTGTGGATGCCCCATCCCTGCAGGCATTCAAGGCCAGGCTGGATGTGGCTCTGGGCAGCCTGGTCTGGTGGCTGGCGACCCTGCACATAGCAGGGGGTGAAACTAGATGATCATTGTGGTCCTTTTCAACCCAGGCCATTCTATGATAGCATAACGAAGCTTTTACCAACTGCACAATATAACGTTTACTCAGACAACTAAAGCGCAGTTTCCTGACACGGCCAAATACTGACATGGCTGTGTTACACGTATTATAAACTGAAAATCAAGATTAGCTAGATATTCTCTGATAAAGAGAAATATTCAACTTGTTGGTAAGACATTCCTGTGAAATCCTGGAGTCAGATGGTACACCCCTCATATCATTCTTCCTATTTCATTTTTTAATGCCTAAGAAACTTGCACTCCTTTACTCACCTTTACAAGCTTTGTATACACGTAGAAAAATTAAGGTTAATTAATCACGTACTTAAAAAAAATATAGAGGTCATTTATTTTCTGAAGAAAATATTTAAATAGATAAGATGGACGGAAGTAAAACATCAGTTAAAATATAAGAAAAGTATAGAAGGAGCTCAAGCATAGGGCTTAGATACTTAAGAACACAAAGCAAGAACCTGATACCATCAGCAGCTCTTTACTTGTATCCCACTTCTGGGTCAGCTCAAGAGTTTTAATATGAAATAGTCAACAAGTGGTACCTGTGCACAGCAAACATTTGCTCTCAGCAATGACCCAACGTCTATGGATCTATCATGTCCTCAAAAGAGTGGAACAGAGCAGCGTGATACCGCCATGAACGAAAGCATCCCCTCTACTTAAAGTCACCACAGCCCATGGAAGCACAGCTGCTGCCTGACAGCAACCAAATTTATAAAACAGACCAGAAGAGAAGTGCGTAGTCAGCTTTACTGCTTGCATCTCTGCTCAACTAACTTGCACCACCATTTTGATTTAAAGCAACTGCTATACCTTCCCGTACAGATAACAGGTTAAGTTCATGTTTTCCATCTCCAAAAGTGCTGCAGATCATCAGAAGGAGTGGCCAATCCACAGAAATAACTGCAAATATTCCTTCTCCCCTCCCTTCCTGCACCCAAAGCTCCCACGCATGCTAACAAGCAACTGAAGTAAAAAGGAGAACAAAAACAAAACCAATCAACCAAGCAGCAATAGAAGTGAGAAGGAAACTGGTCACAGGCCTGATCAGTCATAGAGGAACAGTCAGAGTCTCTTTATTTGGCTGTAAATGACACCATCATCTCAAGCTTACGTCAGGCTTTTTGGGCTCCTCTCAAAACAATTTGGTTATTCTTGATTTATAAAGCTTACAAATAGTGATCTAGATCCAAACCAGCAGAGATCATATTCTCTTAACAGTTAAGTCAAAACAAGTGAAAAGAAAGAACACAAATCAGCAAGTGCTTGGGCATCACACATACATCACCAACATTTTCCCACTATTATTGCTTCTTTCTGGCACAGTCTAAAAGAAAGGCATTTTGTGTCCTGGCTCCCCAAATGCAGCCTGCCACACTCACATGCAGCTCCCCCCAAAAACAAACATCAAAAAAAACCTGTTTGAAATGCAACTTAATTGCATGTTTTAGTTCTCAGAAAAAAAAAACCCAACATCTTGTACAAATGTTCTGAGTCAACAACGTTGCAGGAATCTTCCAAACAGAAAAGTCTAAAACAACACCAGCCTTTGGGATCAAACTTTTCTTTAGAATTCCAATTTAAAATAAGCTGCAAAATTCCTGGGTCTTTAAGGCAGTCATAGCTCAATTATTATGTGAATTCAATCATAATTCAAGTGAACTACAAGTTTACCAAATTAAATCAATGAAATTTAAGAAAAGTTTTAACATTTTAACTCACTGATTAAATAGCAGATATATAAACAAATTCCACAAGTAAAACAAAGTAATAAATGAACATTAAGCTCTGATTCAGTCGGACACCTACAAGTTCTATTGATAAAAATGCCACTCCTATTTTTTTCTAGTATCACAGAATGATAGAATGGCTTGGGTTGGAAGTGACCTCAAGGATCACCAAGTTCCAACCCCCTGCCACAGGCAGGGCTGCCAACTTCCCCATTTAATACCAGACCAGGCTGCCCAGGGCCCCATCCAATCTGGCCTTGCACACCTCCAGGGACGGGGCATCCACAACCTCTCTGGGCAGCCTGTTCCAGCACCTCACCACTCTTCCTGTGAAGAACTTCCCCCTGACATCCAACCTAAATCTTCCTTCAATTTTAAACCATTTCCCCTTGTCCTGCTGTTATCTACCCTCTCAAAGAGTTGATTCCCCTCCTGTTTGTAGGCTCTCTTTAGGTACTGAAAGGCTGCAATGAGGTCACCCCGCAGCCTTCTTTTCTCCAGGCTGAACAAGCCCAGCTCCCTCAGCCTGTCTTTGTAGAGGAGGTGCTCCAGTCCCCTGATCATGGCCCTTCTCTGGACCCTCTCCAACAGCTCCCTGTTTTTCTTGTATTGGGAGCCCTGGACCTGGATGCAGAACTCCAGATGGGGCCTCACGAAGGCAGAGTAGAGAGGGAGATCATCATCTCATATACACACCTCATGTATATTGTAAAAACCTACACTCTGCCCACCAAGAACCCAAAACAAACTCAAAAATAATAAAATAATATAAAAATCAAGGTCTGAAATCTGTCAGCTGAAGTAAAAATATGTGCATGTTAGCAATGGGCAACAAAACCTAAAAACTAACAATGGACAAACACAAAATAGTGCTAATTGAAAACAACCAAAATGATGTAAGAAACAATCTAAAGCATCATTTTAATACAAAAAAGACACCTTAAAAGTTGAAAATCCACCTCTGACACATCTCAGTTCTCTGTACAACTGTCTTCATGCAGTAAATTCAATGTATTGAAAAAGCATTAGAGGTTAGCAACAAGCAAAAGATCATGTGGAAATAAGCTTTTGAGGTGACTGTTTCAAAGAAGTTCAGGAATTATTCAAGCTAGCACTTAACTACATAGAAGCTCAACTGTACAACAGATTTATCTACGTAAACTGAGTACATAATTTCATTGGAGGAAATGGCAGACTGTTCATCTTTCATCTTCCCCTAAGAGTGACACAAACCATCAATTCATTTCCAAAAGCTCTTAAAGATTAAAGTAGTAAGCAGTTGTTACCTACGCCTTTAAAAGAAACATCAAAATGCTGTTATTAGTAAAGACAGCCCAACACGAGCTTATTTACTGGATCTTCACTCAGTGGCACTGAAAAATACGCCTGAAATTCATTGCAAGAAAAAAGAACTGAAGAGCGATCATGGGAACATCTAAAAATGTCTCCTCCCTTTTTATAACTGAAAACAACATGAGCACGACAGATTTCATGCAATAAGATTAGACACAATAAATTGCAAAGCTGCAATAACTGTAACAGTGATTCCTTCATTCCATCAATTACAAAACAAAGCCAAGCCCACTTTTTTTAGATCAAGATTTTTTTTTTTTAATCAATAAAATAAATTCACCAATACTGCTTCTGTAACTGAACCTTCCCATTTGAGAGCAGAACACAGAAATTACTTCAGCAGTTTCATCATAAAAGGTTCTCTGTTATCTGAAGTTGCTTTTGAGACACCAAAGTAACAGCAAACTTGAAAATACAAACCTCTTTCTTTTCTGGAAGTCTTTCCTTTAGCTGTGACAAACTTCTTTTTCACCGATTGAGGCTGAGAAGAAGAATGCTCTCTCCATCTCCGAAGTTGGAAATTAATGAATTTCCACATCATAAATGCTTGAGCCAAGCAGATGGAGGCCAGCACGCTGATTCTGAAAAAGAAACAGGTACAGGTTCAGCAGTAAGTCCACCTTGTTCAAAGAAAAAAGGAAAGCAGAATAGCACATCATACAGTTTTTTTTTGTACATCAGAAATGGCCTTTTTACTTTGTTTCCTCCAGTGCAACAGAGTTGTTCTTTCTGGACTACACATTAGTAAATGTTTCTTGCTTTCTGGCTAGGAGGTTTTCCTCTCCTCCTCCTAACACCCATTTTTCCACAGATACAAGAGTTAGTGGGCTTAACACAGCAGAACAAAACTGGATGTGTACTAAGAGCAAAGACTTCATACTTCCATCAAAACTGAAAAGCAGTAAGTTTCTTTTCTGCTTTCTCCTTTCTCTAACACTCAAGGTACCTGCCACCAGAACACACAATCACAGAATGGCCAGGGTTAGAAGGGACCTCAAGGATCATGAAGCTCCGAGCCCCCTGCCACAGGCAGGGCCACCAACTTCTCCATTTAATACTAGACCAGGCTGCCCAGGGCCCCATCCAATCTCACCCTGAACTCCTCCAGGATGGAACACAGGTCCTCCAGTTCTGAATAGTTAGACTGCAGGGTACTGTGGACACTGGCAATGTTTTAATAAATTCCTTTTATGCATTTAATTCATAAAAAGGCTGAATGGTTGGCCGAACCAACCACTGCATCAGGCAGCAGCAATAAAAGTCATAATAAAGGCAGAGAAAATGGTGAGAATCTTCAACCAGATTCAAAGATGCTTGGATATGATGTCCAATTGTCACTGCAATTATTTATAGTTCGATTTAATAACTCTAAGGTGTGAAAGGCATCTCTACAGCTGGATATTCCTTTTAATCTTGTTTTATTTTCCTAACTTGTAACCAGTTATAGATTTCTCAGTGACAGACTGTAAATTCTTCCATTCACTTCAATGTGCTTGACAAGCTTTTTATTTATTTATTTTTTTAAAACCAAAGCCATGCCCACTGATCCCATTCAGTACTACTAGCATTAACACTACACAGGTTTAACACAGGCTTACAGATCATGCTTAGGAACCACCCCAAGTTTACTGTACCTAACAGCCAGGATATTGAAGTTTCCAGTGCTGAAATTCAGCTGCTGATTTTCTGCTCTTGCCAGACCAAAGCCAAAAGTGAGGACAGAAAGAATCAAGGTGAGAAGCCTTCCCAAAACAAAAAGGACTGCCCACAGTGAAAATCTGCAAAGAGAAAGACCACAAACATTATACGAATTCTCTGCTCACAGCACAAGTACTAACAAGGCAAATAGTTACTCTTAACTCTAAGAACTCATCTGAGAGTTAAGAACTTCACTCAGTTATTTTTCGTTTGTCCTAATCCTTTATTTCCAGTTATTGCAGAAGACAAAAATTAAGGAACGCCTCACTTAGGATTTTTTTTCCTACAAACCAAAACTTTGTTCTGAAAATTATTTTCATCTCAACAGAAAGTGCCTACCATGACTATCAGAACATGACTGTGTTAAGAGTTTATTTAGAACCGACTGCATTAGCAGCCCAGGCTGTTGCCTTTTCTACAAGACTTGTACCTGGAAAATGTTTTATTTTTACTTTTAATAAAAGTAGTATGAGATTTAACTCCATTTTACATAGCTACTAACATCTACTTATACAGGAGAGTAAGTTAAAAAAAAGAAAAAAAGTTTTTTTTTTAGTCTGGAGGACAGTGGCCTCTAAGGAAATACAAGACAACCTTCCCTGTAATCCTGGCTTCTGCTTAGTTAAAATGCACGAGACTTGCAAGACAGAGGTTACCTGAATCTCAAAACTGCTGACTACTTACCCTTTCTGGTATCTTTCATCACTAAAGTAGAAAAGACGAGATATGTGGAAAAGAAATTCAACGAAGTAATGTAATACCAGGAGAACAAGTCCAAGGTGGGTCAGACTATTAAAACAAATAGAACATCCATTCAAATGCTTTGTTACATTTTAACATTTTAAGTGATTGAAGACAATAAAACCTTATACATTACTTACTTCAAAAGATAGGCTCCAGCAATATGAAAGAGATAAAGTCCAATGTAGACAATTTGGCGAAAGATATCCTCCTATTGAAAAGAAACAAATAAACATACATTACACACAATGCTGTATGATGTTACAGTACAGATTGCTTCCTAGTCCTAGAAATGATCATCTTCTCAGCTACCCCACGTGGCCTGTTTTGGCACTGAGTTACTCCATCTAATTCCACACCACTTACTGCTTACTTACCAGTAACATACAGTATTTTTACATACACTTTTGTGAGAAAATGCATTTGAAAATGCATTTCAAAAGATGAATTTAATTCTTTGTTAAGACTTATCTGAACTTGCAGCAGTTATTACAATAAGTACATAATTGGTATGAATTATTGTGTCTCCAGATAAACTTCTGTAGTTTGACACGTTTTCTGCCATTCTGATTCTGTCAGATCGTTACAGGAATAGAACAAAAGTCTATGAACCAAAAAGAAGTTTACAACTGTTGTTGTGCATTTAAAAAAATTCAAGATCATTCATGATTCTGGTACACTGTTGGCAGTGAACAGAATAACATTACTAAGCAGTGATACAAACACCACCTGAGAAAAGAAAACTCACTGAAGTATACTAGATCACAGTATGAGTATTCATTCTGAAATGGTAGGTAGAATACATCCATTTGTGCTCAAGAACTCCAACTTCTTTAAAGATTCCCTACGCTTCAGGTAAGGGGCTTTCAGTTTTATCATGCATGCACGTAAATGCAACCAACCAAAGAAACACAAGAAAGCCTCCTAAAAATGTCATCCTTTAAGATCTACTCTACATCTCCAATACTTTACCTCAAAGCTGACAAAACGAAATACCTGTTACAACACCTAACAACACAGAGAGAGGGAATATAGTTAAAAACCTAAGTGGTCCCAAAGAAAACAAAAAACAGGTTGTGCAGAGAAAACACGAGTGTACTCACTGCAAACACTGTGGTTCTCCAAGTACTACCAGAACAAGCCTTTTGCACTTTATTTTTGGAACAAAGGTAACATTTAAATAGCCTCAGCTGCCTGCTTACATAAACTGTCAGACTTAAGGCCTATTGGAATAACTCAGGTGGAGTTATCCACCACTACACAAAAAGCAGAGTTGAGAACCCCCTATATTTTTCTTTTTTAAATGTCAGGAGTAGAAATAACTGGACCTGAGCAAAAGCAGCCAATTCCTGCATGAGAAGTAAGGCAAGGAAGTCAAGACAGGAGAGGTGAAACTGTGGTAAGGGGGTGTCAACTCAAAACGTGATAAAACAAATAGCCTTAAAACTTAACCAAAAAACTAAAAACCCAAATGACCAAACAAAATACTACTATTAAGCATACAGCATTTCTGCCACTTTCTGGCAGCTTTCATAAAGTCACATTAAAGCAAACAAAAAACAGAGCCAACCAATACTTAAATATTAAGTCAAGTTCTAGAGATATCACTGCCCCAGTGTGGCAATATTGGAGCATCAGCTGAAATATATGCATAACATCACTGCTGATACTGCAATCAGCATGAAAACAAACCTCATTACTACTTTCCCAAGCCTGCTCTAGGTCCTGGAATAAAGACCTGTGGTTAACTAACATACATTTCATTTCCTTGAATGAAGCAGAATCCTGACAGCAGAAACTCAATCTAGTCACAGAGCAACAAGAGAAGAGTTTTTAAAAGGAAGCTGTGCATGCAAAGACAGCCTGAGCAAAGAACATGCAAAGAGACTATCTGTGTTGGTCAAGAAAAGCAAAAACTGCTACAGAAATCTACAGTGAACTCAATGTGAGCAGTTAAATTCTGAGAAACACAATGGACAAAACTCTCATGAGGCATAGATGCTGTTCAAATACTCACTGCACTACTAACTAGAAATTCTGCTGAGGATAGTGGTATTTACAACAAATCCTAGTAGTTTATAGTGCTTGGATTCAGCACATTATTCACTGCTTCTATTCAATACCTATATCGAATAGAATACCTGTATTGTGATTCCTGAAGCATTTCTGTATTTCAATGAGATTATTCAGACAAGTAATTACAGAAAACAAGAAAAGATTCTGAAACAATCACCCAATCATTTGTTCAAAGGAAAATTCAAGTTCTTTTAGCAGATGGGATATGCTACTGATTTGTATTTACACAACAGACACACAGTGATTTTACTTCAGAAATACAGGGTTTAAGTGAAAACACTTGCTTCTCACATGTACATCAGAGCACCAAAATTCCAAAAAGGAAAAGCTTAAGTACACAGATAAGAAAGGGGTTGCAAATGTAGGGTAACACACTTTCCCAAAGAGATGAATCACTCCACTATTCGAGCTGCTTTGCTCGGCATTCTTTCCATTTGCTTTCTGAACTTACTTTTTTAGTTTTCTGGAAGTACAATTCTGGGAAAGCATGAAACCAGTATGCCAACTGTAAGATGTAGAAAAACTTCATTTGAAACCTGTACAATACAGCAAGAATTGAAGAATATTACTTTCTCTTCATAAACTTAAAATGTTCCAGAAACTTTCTAGTGAATATATTTAATTGCAATCTCTAAAGAGAAACAGAGATCCTTGTTGCCAGTCAGCTTTGTTCTCAGAAAGATCAAATAATCAAATTCACCACAGCTTCATTTTATAAATAAACAGCCTGCAGAAGGATTAATGTATACTCCCCACTGACAGGGAATAAAGCTTCTCTGTCAATACAAACAAAAAATACATCAGTGACAAATTTAATTTCAGCAATTTCCATATGACTTCAAAATGCCAACACCCCTTTCCTCCCCCAGAACAGTCCTTCAAGGAAAAGGCCTTACGGAATCAGAGTGTGTGGGTAGTCCCTCCACAGAGAGGTTGGATCTGATATATAGTTCTCCTAAAAAACAAAAGCACAGCTTCTGAAGTCACACAGCGTTGCTGTTTCCGAGTTAGAAATAACGAAGGGACACACATACATGTATTTTTATACATCTGATGTGTGCACACAGAAATACTGACACGCAATTAAAAGCTGCAGATTGATACATTGCCATTTACAAAACTAAAACAACAACTGTATTAGCCTAAAAGGAAAAAAAAATAAGGAACAATAAACAATTTAAGTGCTCATTGAAGAAAAGATTCCTTCTGAGCTGGAGGTTATTTCAGCATCACCACAGATAGAAGTCTTCCCTTGTAAACTGCTGACAAGCTTTGAGCTTAACTAAGAGAAGAAAAGTTTTTTTAGGAGTCATTGTGCTACAGAAAAAGATTATACTCTACCTTTTTCTTGAAAATTTTAAGTTTCTATAATCATTGTTAGAAAATGAGCTTTCAAATTAAACAATAGGTTATACTCCTGTAAGGGAAGAATAATTTAGGAGCTTACAATGAACCACATACTTCTCCCTAAGCACCTGTGTAAGTGGGAACAAGAGGTGGGTTATGCCTTTCTTCTAAAAGCAGAAAGTGGGGTGAGCACAAACACAGCCCAGTGCTAGCAAAGGGCATAGCATCTGACAGGGCTCACCTAAGCCTACAGCAACTTGTCCACTGCCCATTCCCTAGGCTGCCAAAATGCACTGCATAACTAATACATTAAACATTTATTTTACAATAATGAACCAACACAGAAAAACTATGGAGAATGAAGTACCCTAATAGAGCTTAAAAATCACATTTTATTCATGTGACAGCAAATTCAATTTACTGAGATGGAGCAACAGTAACGCTGCTGGACTTCATACTTAATTTTGATACAATTCACACTGAATTCTGAAACATGCCCGTGCTTTAATATTAAAATCAGCTAAAATTTGGATAAGTTGAAAACTTACTGGTGTTGCTAAGTTGCAGTCTTATAAGAAACACAAGAGGAAGTGTACTTACAGAGACAAGAATACTCGTGCCCCAAACACAGGAGAAAAGGTAGAACGCACTAAGTTGTCCAGACTCATTGAACTTGCTATGCTTTGTTTTGGAAAAGTGCATTTTCCTGTTAATTTTCTGAAATGAAAGTCCACTGTTATTTATATGTTGTACTTAACATTAGCTGCTACCAGCATTAGAACATCCGAAAGTTCCAATAAATGTTTTATCATTTTAAAGGTAAATTTTAGCATTTTAAAATGCTAAAATAAAATGCTAAAATTTAGCATTTAGCTTTTAAGTTAACAGTTAAAGTCTAATCTACCATCTTGATGAAAGGAATTAGTATTTTGTACTTACATCCAATACATACTCCTGAATAATAGCATGTATGATTATTGCTACGAGCATATAAAAGAAAATTGTAGCCAAGTCTTTGATGCCATAGTGATAGAGAGAGATTGTTTCTGCAGATTGTTCTTCTAGAAGACAAAAACAGAATTAACTGTTAGGCACTGATACAGTTTTATTGCCAATAAGTTTGTTTCTTAAAGTGAAACCTTTCAGGCAAAAGTCATTTGTTGTCAGTTGAACAAATATAAGTCAAATTAAACCACCACCCTGAGCTAGGTCACTAGACTCCATTTACAGTAATCTTCTCCATCGCATCACAAACTCAATTTGATTTTGGAAGGATGCAATATAAAAATGGAAACTTAAGTGCACTTAGGAAGCTTAGCCAAATGCACTGAAAGGGAACTATAAAATTATGTTAAACTATCAACCCTCCCCCCCGTCCCCACACACTAAGTAGAACAGATCACTTGCATAACCAGAGTAAGAACATGAACTTATTAACCACCGAGACTGGGTTTCAGGATCAAGAACAAACCCAGCAGAGCAGAAACATTTTCCCTAATGCAATTCACAAAATGACAGAACGGATTCCTCGGAAGTTTTACCCAAACAATTTATATTAAGTCCTTAAAATCTCTGTACTGTCCATTTAAACTTGGTAACTTATCCTCAGTTTAGGGCATACAACACATTAGCAGTGTCTGAGGATAACAGCCCATGACTAACCAACCACCTGCAAGCACATACCTGTGGCAGGAATGGTAACGTTATACTGAAGAGTGACGAAAATGACAGCTGCTTTTGCTGTAATCTGGAAAAGAAAACACAGAAGTGCTGTCGAATCTCACCGACATAAACTATTTTAAACTGAAGATGTTTACTCCCCAGTTTTAGCACTCTTCCCCAAGCATGTCTGTTCCTCCCAAGAAAACAACCAACTCCCATCATCACGCCACTTCATCTGACTTTCTGAAGGCAAAAGAGACCACATAGATTTGTTTACAGAAATACCCTCAAAAATTCCTCTTCATGAGGGACAGCAAGAAAAAACGAAATTCACAATAGAAGAGAGAAGCAGAAAATGTTTGTTCTGAAGTCTTTTCTGGGCAGGGAGATGATACCTTCAAAGAAGAAAACAAAAGCAGCAATTCTTGTTCATTAATAACAATTTTCAAGTGTAAGACATTTTGCTACCTGAAGATAACCCACTAAATTATTATTATGGCTCAAAAGAAATTGGACTTTTCTTAAAGATTTTTATATCTTTTTCACTGAAACAAGCACTCCATAAACGAGGAGTTTTCCTTGGAACCAACCCTGCGCAACTTCTGGGAACCCAACTAGTCTGCCAGAATTTATTCCACTGCTCAGGACTGTGGAAGGAGCCTCCAGAGGACTCACACCACCAACTAGTTCCGACATGCCATACCAAGGCTCACTCAGCTAACGGTGTTCAGCTGAGCAAGGGCAAGGCAGTACCTAAAGGGAGCCTATAAACAGGAGGGGAGCCAACTCTTTACAACGGTTGGTAACAGCAGGATAAGGGGAAATGGTTTTAAGTTAAGAGAGGGAAGATTTAGATTGGATGTCAGAGGGAAGTTCTTTACCATGAGAGTGGTGAGGTGCTGGAACAGGCTGCCCAGAAAGGCTGTGGATGCCCCGTCCCTGGAGGTGTTCAAGGCCAGACTGGATGGGGCCCTGGGCAGCCTGGTCTGGTATTAAATGGGGAAGTTGGTGGTCCTGCCTGTGGCAGGGGGTTGGAGCTTCATGATCCTTGAGGTCACTTCCAACCTGGGCCATTTCGTGATTCTGTGAGGACAGCATCAATACTGTACCATACCAGCACTAACTGCAGCAGATGATTTCTAAGGCCTGTACGCAAAGCATTTCAGAGACTTAGCAATCTGTTCAGCCTCACTATATGTGTAACAACAGAGGTACATGGTCCCTCTATGCCAAGATAGAAAATAAATGTTGTGAAGTGAAAATCAGAGAGATTTTCAGAGAAATGTCAAAGAGACAAAGGCTTCGGCACACCCAATGCTAGCAGCAATGTGGTGAACAAACAGTAAGCATACACACAAGGGAAGGGTTTAGGTCCGTATCTTTAACCTTAAAACCACACTGTGAGGCACGGTGTGTTCTGGTGACTTTTGGTAGTAAAAATCACACAGAGCAGCGTTCTTAGTGTGTCCCATCTTTTCAGACGTTGGGAGTTTTTCAAATCCTACACCTGAGCAGCACAAAGGCCGGGTAAAACTGCCGAAAGTAATCTGCGTGGGTAGAACAGCCACCGGCTGGGACTCTGAAAAGCCACAACCGCGCCGCGTGGCGGACGCGTCCTGCCGCGATAGGGCACTCTGGGAACATCTCGGGGATCCCTCACAAGGGAACGAAGCACGGCACGCTCAGCTCAGCGGCCGGGTCAAGGAGGGTTTCCGGGGAACCGGGAGCTCCGCAGGCCACGTGGGCCGGGCCGACCAAAGCCAGGCGGCGGCCGCCGGGGGACTCGCGCCCCGCTGCCCGCGCGGCGGCCGTAGGTACACGTCACCGCCGGCCGCCCTTCCCCCTGCGGGCCGCGCGGCGGCGCGCGGCCTCACGGGAGTCGTAGTGCCGGCGGGGCCGCCCGGGCAGCGCACACAAAGAGCGCGGTGAGGCAGGGCAGGGCCGGGCCGCGCCTCCCCGCCGCCCCCCTCCGCCTCCCCCGGTCCGAGCGCGGCCGCACGCCGCGCACCCCTCCCCCGGCCGAGTGCCACGTAACCCCGGCGCGGCGGAGGGAAGCGCGCCTCGGCTCCTCGCGGCGGCGGGGCACGGTCTCGCTCGCGAGGACGGCTGCGGCGGGCAGCGCGTCTCCGCGCCGAAGAGGGCGTTCCCGGAGGGGCCGGGCCCCGGGGAGCGGGGACGCGGCGCCCGCCCGGGCTCCGCCGTACGGCCGCGATCGCGGCACCGCGATGCCGCCCGCCCCCGGGCCGCCCGGGCTCCCGGCGGAGAGGAGGACGGAGCGGGAGTCTCACCTCGAACATGAGCCCCAGCAGGAAGATCATGGCCATGCAGGAGACGATGTCGGCGTGGTTCTGCACGATGAACTCGTGGCTCAGCACCGGCGGGTTCTTGTTGCTCTTCTTGCGGATCGCCATGGCGGGCCGGGAGCTGGGCGCCGCCGCCTCCCCGCTGCCAGCACAGCTCTCGCTGCGGCCAGGAAGAGGCGGGTGGGAGGAGGCGGCCGCGCAGCAGAGGAATGGCAGCAGCCGCCGCTTCACCCCGCCCCGCCCGCCGCGGCCCCGCGCGGCCCTTCCTCCGCTGCCCGGCCGCCGGGAGCGGCCCCCGCCGCCGCCCGCCAGCGCCCCTGCCGGCCGGAGGGGTCTTCGGCCCGCCCGCGGAGAGGCGGTGGCCCGGCGCTTTGCGGGCCCCGACGGCTGGCCGAGGACCGGCCGGGGCCCCTCGGGCGGCGCTACGTGGCTGTGGCTGCCTGCGCCGGGCCCTGCTTCTGCGTTGCCCAAAGCCCCCTTCGGTTTCGTTCTCCTCCATCTCTCTGGCGAAGTTTAGTTTCTATTAGGCCGTTCCTACCTGGACGTCGGGGGAAACGAAAAGATGTCGTTAAGAAACGGAACTCGCTGGGTTTGTTAGGGTTATGGCTAGGGCACGGCCTCAGGGTATGAATAACAGCAGATTCCTGCCAGCCCATAGCCTGGAACAACACACATCCAAACACCCTGGAATCCCAGGACAAGAAAAGTTATCCCATGAGAGGGGTAAAAAAAAATTTCTAAATCAGAAATATGTTATGGAGAAGAGATATCAAAAGCCTGTGAATAATTTAAAAAACAAAAATCAAACAAACAAACAAAAAACAAAAAAAAAAAAACAAAAACCAAATTGCCCCAAAACAAAAGCCTGCTCTTAATT